GTCCCCAGTGTGTTCCCTCAGCAAACACCAACGCCACTGCCGCCAATAAGCTGCAGCCGCCGAGAAACCCTTCAGACTGTCGTCCCCGTCGCTGAGCTCGTCCCGACGCTGGTGAGATCCACCGCCCGGGCCCCAAGCCTACAAAGGCTCCCTAACTGCCTTGTGCTCCTTCCTCTCCAAGCACGAAGAGAGCACCTGCCAGGGGTAGAGCAGAGGCAGCCTTAAAGAACAGCGCTGGCTCCGCTCCCCCTTTAGGGGCTGAGCAGCCCTTCCTCCATTCCTCCTCACGAGGAGGCAAAGGCCGTTGGCTGCCTCCTGTGGGGCCGGATTTTATGACATACAACAAAACATTCTGGTGTAAAATGATAAGCAGGTTTTGGGTTAGATCCAGTCATCTTTTCCTCTCGGTCTCCACCAATTCCCCTCCTTATTACAGCCCGTATTCCACATGGCTTTTGTCAATGAAGGTCCCATGATACCAAACATAGCTTTTTTGGGTGGTCAAAGGGAACTCCTTCCTTCCTTTTCACCAGTAGAAAAATTGGTAAGAGCCAACCTTCTGTACATCCACTGAGAACTGCTGAGAGATGCTACAATAAAATCATTGTAGACAATGCTAGAAGCCACTATGAAATTTATAGGTGCCATGGTGATAGGTTTGCCAAGTGCTTTTTGAGCTGCAGTGGGGGACTCCCGGCTGGTGGCTGGAGTGCGTGCGTGCACGCGCGCCACACGCACATCACCTGGAAGTGATGTGACAATGCCGGACATGCTGGGGGCGGGGCCATGACCATCCGAGGGAAAGCATAGAATTTTCCCTCGGATGACCGTGGCCCCGCCCCCAGCGTGGTTCCATCACTTCCGGGTGATATCCATGTCGGGGGGGCCCGATCCACCGGTGGCAGGGAACGGGCCTCTGGGGCGGGGGTTCCCCGCCCCCCGGGGGGACTTGGCAAGCCTACATGGTGACCTGCTCCCCGCAATCTGTTGAGCATAGGGCTCTTTCTGGGCATGCCACAGGTCTCCACACAAATGAGGGAAATGTGTTGTCTTTGTTTCTTCCCTCATCTTGAATTGTGGGTGGGGCAGGGCATGGTGACATCACAAAAGCATGCCAACTTTTTCTATATGTGACAAACATGGAGATGTTACTTTGCTGCTCTGTGAACAGCGACTCTTGGTGATATAACTATTGCACATCGTAAAAATGGCAACATAAAATTACAACATCATCATATATCTAATTCCAAGATGGGCCACAGGGTGTGTCTGCAGAAGGGACTTTGGGCCTGCCTGCCAACACCTCTTTGGATGAGGAAGAGATGGAGGAAGCTGACCTCAGCCCTCAGATGCTGCAGGAAGAACCACCAGACAAGGTGGAAACTTCATCATGTGCAGACAGGGAGTCTCAGCCTGCAGTTGGCATGCCAGGATCAGAAACCAAAACAGAGGCCCTGCAGCTGCCCGCTTCACCCCAGGGGTGGCCAGAGCCCTTGGAACGCCAGAGAAGGAGGGACCAGAGGCAACTCTGGGCAACTCTGCCTGTGATTTGGAGTCATTATAGGATCAGGGCTGGCAGCCTTGTAGGCTGCTCATCCATAAAGGACTTTTACCTGTTCTTGGATGACTCAGCAAGTTGAGGAGTTGCACCTGGCCTTGAATGACTCCTGATAAAAGCTGCCAGAAAAGGGCAAGCCAGTGTGAAAACAACTTGTCCACGGTCCTGGTGGGGTTGTACCTTAAACTTCTGTGTGCTTTGATATACTGGACAGTGATCTGGTTTGGATTTGCCCTTCTGGTTTGACTATTGGCTTGGACTATTGAGTAGCTGTGTTTTGACCCTGGGTTGTTCCTGGACTACGCCTTTTGCTTCTTGCCCCAGGTGCCTGCCTGAGCCAGGTCAGTTAGGAGGATTTCTCTACAAACCTGAAGAAATCCTAAGTTTGCAGAACTTCCCCCAGCCCCGTGCACTGCGGCCCCCACCCCACTTGCAAAAAGACCCTTTAAAGGGTCTTTTTGCAAACTGAGCGTGCAGCCCATGACTGCCCCTCTCTCTCCCTCCTGCTAGATTTAAAGGGCCCTCCAGCTGGTCGGTGGGTCACGTGGTCTCTGCCAATCAGCTGAAACCCTTTAAATCAGGCAGGAGGGGAGGGAGAGGGGTTGCCAGGTGGGTGTTCACTCCTGGGGAAAGGGCTTGGGGAAGGGCTTAAGGCATCCCCACCCTCCTCCGGAATGCCCCCCAAATCCCTCTGCCGGAGCAATGAGGGGGAAGTCCAAACAAAACATCTGTGACAAAAATAACGAAGAGTCAATAAAGATCTATATGCGAAATTGTTTACTATAATAATTATAATTCTGTGGGCAGGAACACACAGGAACAGAGTTCCGGATGGCTTCAGAGTTGGCCACGCCCACTACAGCCAAAACCTCTGCGTGCGTGGCTGCAGAGGGACGGCCTGGAGAGTGACCCCCCCTGGCAACTCTGAGGCAGGCCGGCCTCAGAGGGGGCCCTGGAAGGATTGGGGAGGCATTTAAATGCCTCCCCATGCCTCCCCTTCCCTCCACGGGCCAGCTTGCGGGGCACCTGGGCAAGCCATGGGGTGTGGCCTAATATGCTAATGAGCAGCACTGTCTGGTTTTGGCCTAATATGCTAATGGGGGTTTCTACTGTTGGGTGTGGTCTATTATGCTAATGAGTTCCTGCTGGGCTTTTTCTACAAAAAAGCACTGCTTATCACTGTAAAGAAGAAAATACACATTCAATTATAATAACAGCTATAAAAATTCATAATGAACCATTACACTCCAAAATATCACTTATATTTCCACTTATCAGCTCTTGAAATAAACATCCCATGTTGACTCTCTGATATCAGAACCCAAGGTCTTCACAATGAATTAGTTGGTTTCTAGAAGCTAAACATAAAGCCTCCACTACTAAACTCTCACTTTTGGCTTCGGAGCAACAAGGGGGCCTGGCAACCCTAATCAAAATGCTAACAAAGATCCAGAAACTAAATGAAATCTCTGCCAGCGAATATCAAAATGAATTTTCTGTAATGACTAACTTTGGTTGGTGGAATTTGGTGTCTAAATTATTATAAGCAGTATACTACATTTTTCTCCATGTATTAATTGGTTGGAATTATTAACTGATAACGTATCATCTTGTCATAGATTGTATTAATATTTCTATATCAATGCTTTAATAAATGCCTATACGTATGTGCTCCTACTTACTTTGGGTTTGTTTTTAGAGTATGCCTGAGACCAAGTTCCAGCCTAAAAATAGCATTTCTAAGAATTCAAGTTGCAATTTCAAATATGTTCTGCCCAACAGATAAAAATGGTAAGTAAGGGTCTGACACGAGCAAATGATAACACCGAAAGCAATACTATGCTAATTTGCTTGTGAAATGCTTTTAGTATCACTAACCAAGATAACTATTACATTAAACAGGCAGCATCTATCTACGTCCCTAACAGTGCAGTCCTAAGTGCAGTTACAGCCTTCTAAGCCCAATGAAGTAAGTAGCTGTGGAACAGTGCAACTCTGTTTAGGATTGCACTGTTAAGTTCTTACTCAATGAATGTCCTAGGATATCTCTTACTCTTTCCATGACAAAGTGTGGCAACATTCATTGCAGTATTTGCCATGTATGAATTTTGCATGGCTTTTGCTTTTAATTTTTTCCCTCGGGCATTTGTTTTCAAAGGCTTGATGTTTACTGCTGAGGTTCACATCATTCCTGCCAACAGTTTCAAAATGTTTGTCTCCGGGCAATTACAACTGGGTTGTCTTCCTTTTGCAGTTTTAAAGATTATCCGTTCATAGCCTTAATGGTGGATCAAGACCAGGGCTTTTTTGTTGGGGGAATGTGCCCGAATGGAGTTTCGGAACCTCTTCAACGAAATTCTTTTAAAAATGTTTAAAAGTTCATGAGTTTTCAGTATACAGATTGAAAACTTCATTTCCCTCTTGAGAGTTCCGGCACCTCTTTTTCTTTTTTCTTTTTTAAAAAATGCCCTGATCAAGATCAACATCTGTAGTGTTGTTCGACTTCACTGCAGTAACTGTGAAAACAATTTATGTCATCTACTTAACACTCCAGTTAAAATTTATTTAGATTTTTATACCTTACTTTTTTCTCCATGATGCTGATGATACATCATACTCCCCTCCTCAGTTTTACCCTCTCAACTGTTGGCAGAACAACAACAACCCTGTGAGATAGGTCAGGCTGAGTGTGTGTGTGACTGGCCCAAGGTCTCCCAGCCAGTTTCCATGAAAGAGTAGGAATTTGAACCTGGTCTCCTAACAATTACACTGCACCAGTCTAAATACTGTTCAGTGGAATACATGTCCCACATTTTTAAATAAGCTGTTCATACTAGTACCAGGGGTCAATCATGCCTTCATAGTCACTTAAACACTAGATTCAGGTACAACCTACTCACCCTTTTTAAAAGTAAGTT